TTTTTTTAAAGGCCATGCCCGTTTTTTTGCTTAAGGGTGAGTTATGAGTCACCATTTCAGTTCATTTGTAAAGTATTGTTATGCCTTTAAATAACAATAACAAACAATATGATTTCGTCTGTGCCAGGACTCCATCCGGGAGGAGACAAAGTTACATGGGGGCCTGGCGCTGCGCCTGCGCGCACCCCCAGCCTCTCGGGGCCGAGCCGGCGCCGCCCCGCGTGCTGCGAAGCGCTTCCTTTGTCTCCGCCCCGGCGGGGCCTCGCCTCTCCAGGAACCGACCAGAAGGGCCCCCGCTGGGTGGTCGCTAGGAGCACCTGACCACCGCCTTTCCCGGGCCTACCCTAGAGCTGAGGCCCCCCGAATTCCTAGGGGCCCCCTCCAGGGGCCGTGTCTGCGGATCAGGCCGTTTACCTGGTTAGGGAGAAAAGCACTCTTGGAGGAAGCACTCAGGCCGGTCTCTGGTCTGGGAAATGGGCGCATAACACTCTGTTCTCCCTGCAAACGCCAGGAGCGAAATGTTTGCCTCGAGACCCCGAGCCCCGCGCGGCTGGCCTGGGGGTTCAGCCTCCACGTGGCGCAGGGCTCTGCCCCCGCCCCTTAAGCTGGAGGAGGAAGAACAGGAACGCAGCTCTGGGTACCCCCACCCCCACCACCACCCCCACCGGGCAGAGTCTGAGGAGAGGCTGAGCTGGAGGGCGCATAGCCCGCGGCGAAGGTCAGGGCGGCTGCGAGCCGGGCGAAGACAGTGGTGTCCGCTCCAGGGCAGACCGAGGCTCCCGGCCAACCGCTGCCTCTCCCTGTCACGCTGGCCCTTCTCCGGTCGCTCGGCCTCCTCCCTCGTTACCCAAGGCCAGAGACGCGCCCCCCTCCTCCCCTCACCTTCTTCCCATAAAGCGCTTAGCAGAGGGGGTGGGGGGCCTGAAGCTTCAAGTTCAATGGCAATGTCCCTGACCATCCCCTCCCCTCTGGGCGCCGGCTAGACGCCGCCCTCCCCTTCCCGTCCTTCTGGGGACGATTGAACTCCTGTTGCCCCCTTTCCCTCTCTCATGGGGGGGGGGGGCAGTTAAGGGGTGGGGGCAGCGGTGGAACTCGTTTTTTCTCCCTTTGCTCCAACCACCCACCCTCTTCCTACGCAGAAACAACTAGTAGCTGAGAGAGGAAGAAAGGTGGGCACCCCTTTGGATGTTTTAAAATCTCCAGGCCCGGGCGGGGAAGGGGGGCGTCCCACGGGATGAGAGGCTGAGGCCGCTCTGGGGCCTTCTCCCCCCTTCCCCAGAGAGTGGGTGGGTGAGAATAGAATATGCATTTCTTTCAAAACCAGGGAACCTCCTTTCGCCCCCTCCGCAGGAGTCGCCTCCGCGCTTTATTTCAAGTTGATGGTAACGATTCGTCCATTTCATGCAGGATTGTAACTCTTGGGGCGAAAGCACAAAGAGCCCCCCCCACCCCGCCTCCCACTCAAGAAAACCTAATTAAAGGGCAGCACTTAGGACCTTGAATAAAACTTTAACGAAGGGGAGGAGAGGAGGCAGCCGGGACCAGGCAGAGAACTGGGGGCTCGATCGGGGCCCTTTTCCTCCCGCGGGTACAGCTTCTGGGCCTGGAACGGTTCAGAGTCTGGGGGACCAGTGGGGTGGTGGTGGTGGTGTTGGTGGTGTTGGTGGGGGGGGCGGTGCGTGTGGTGGTGGTGGTGGTGGTGGTGGTGGTGTTCATGGTGGTGGTGGTGGTGGTGGTGATGAGCCCCGGATCCCGGGCCTGGCCCCTCGGGGGCGCTCTCCGCGGGGCCGTGCGGGCACCGAGATTCCAAAAACAAACGCTTCCCGGGGGCGCGTCTGCGCACCTCGTCACTCTTACCCCCTAAGTCGGCCCCTGGGCGCCTAATAGAATCCGCCTGTTTGCAGGGCGAAGTGATCGCGCTCCGGAGCCACGACCCCGGTGGGGCGGGGGAGCGCGGGGCCGAGGAAAATTACCGCTTGTCGGTGAAAAGGCGCGGGTGGGCTTTCCGGAGAGTGTCTGTGTCCTTGAGATTGTCTGAATTTACCGATTTCTCGACGCTGGGTTTACAGGCTTCAGTCTGTATAATGTTAGCAAAACCCTCTCTCTTAGAGCTTAAAAGGGTCCCAATTAAAAAGCAAGGCTGCAGGCAAGTAAATATGGGTGGGTGAATTTTGTTGCAATTTAGACAGGAATTAGTGAGAGATTTTTATACGGTCGGTCATGGTGGCGGGCAGTTAGAATTCGCCTCCGGAGTAAAGCTGGTGTTTGGTGATTTTTAAAAGAAGGTTTAATACAAAACAACACTTAAAGCAATCCCCGCTCCCCCCCACCCCAGGGTACGTACAAGTAAAGCGCGCAGAAAAACAGTGGGCGGTCCGCCGAGAATCGTTGTGGCGAGGAAGAGACCTGCTCTCATCTTCCGGGGGGACGGGGACCTGGCCCCAGGGCAGATGGCGCCGCAGCCTTGCTCGCGGAGTCCGTTCTCCTCCCGAGGTCGCCGGTACTGCTCCCCTGGCTTCCCTCCCGGCTTCCCTCCGGGGCCTCTTGGCGTCTGGACAGACACGTCTGCCGATTCCCTGGCCCAATTCCAGGCGACCCCCGGTCCCCGCGCTGGGCAGGACGCGCAGCCCCGGAGGCTCCCGGCACCGCGAAGCCGGGCGCTCGGTTGCGGGTTCCGGCGGAGCGGATGCGCAGGTTTCCCTGGAATGACGAGCTTCAGCCGGAAGGGGGCGCCCTTGTCTTTTTAATCGTCCCAACTCGCATTCAGAGCGAAATAAATCGCCAATCTCCAATCTTTTGTTCGTTCTGAAATTATTTCCAGAGAATAATAGAGGAACCCAGAAATTTCAAGTCCCTGATAGTGAAGTGGAGGAAGTCCAGAGTCTCCTTCAGGCCTTCCTACCTAGGCAACCCCTCTTGTGGCCTTTCCCCTCTGCACGTGGGGTCCCCGCAGCATGGCGCTCCGGGTCGTTTGTCCCACACCCTACCCCACACGCCTGTCTGCGCTGACGTCTCGCCATTTCTGGAGCAACGGGAGAGGGGTTTGCACACACTATCCTGGAGAAACTGATACTAAAAGCTACTGGCTTGGGGCTTCACTTGAAGGGGGACAAGAGAGGCAGCAAGCAACCTCCTCTGAGCCCGGAGTGTTACTTACGGAGGAGCTTAAGTGGGACCATGGGGCTTGGATGGATTTTTTTTAATCACAAAATTGGCACACACCGCCCCCAGTACGCACACTCTAAGAGACCCAGGAAGGGGGGGTGACCGCTCACCTGGGGGGCGGGGTGGGGGCTTCCCTTAGCCCTGGTTGCTTTTTGGTAAACAGATTTAGAAGAGTCCGAGTGGCTTCCCAACTCATTCCCTGGAGAGGAGCCAGGACTGGAATCCCACCCCACTGAAGGGTGGAAATACCCGGGTTCTGGGCTGCAGCCTGCAGCCCTCTTCCTGCGGTTTCCGGGAGAGCTACAATCTGGCTCCAGAGGGAACTGCCGCAGCCCTCCACTGGCTGAGTTCATGCGTCTCTGGGTGGCTTGGAAGTGGGTCCCACCGGGTCCTCTTCACTTCACTCCTGCGTGCTGGATTGTGGGAGTATCTACCTAGATCCCCCAGCCCGGCTGCAGGAAGACCCAGCATAACCCTGCTGGCTTTGCCGCAGCCAGGACAGCAAGTTCCACCCGGCGCTGTGCCTCAGTGCAGAACATCAGGGAGCTGGCACAGAGGCGGAGAGTTTCTGGCTCCGGAACAACCGGGCCGCCCCAGGTTTCTGGAATTCCACACTATGGGTCTCTGTCGGCATGGCCCAGGGAAAACAGAGTTGGCACCAACCCACCCGGGGGGGGTCACCCACCCACCTGGGATTCAGGAAACATGGACCGAAAAGTGAAAAGAAAAGGAAGTCTGTGCCCACTGTCGCCAAGACTGCATGGTGTCCCCACCATGAGCCTGGATCTTTGGGCTTCTGTCACCTTACCACCCTCAGTTCTTGCATCCACAAAAGGACCTAGTGCATCTCCTAGCTGACGGGCCCCCTAGCTTCTCTGGGTGTCATGAGGCAAGCAGAGGAGAAAGGGTGGGAAATGGGGCCATTTTCTGGGGTTTTCTCTCCTGCCCAGCTCTACTAGCATGCTGGGGACATACTTGCCAGTGGGGTAGGATTCTACTAGTTGTGCCCGGAAGGGGCCGCGTTAGAAGACCAGACATCTGTTTCACGCAGCTCCCAAATGTCCAATGAACTATGACCTGCTTAGGTCAGAACCACTAGGAACCTTAGGGGAAGACTAGGAAAGTTTGGGGGCAGAAGTGAGACATGGTGAATTATCCAGGCACTTGCCCAAACTCCATTTCTCTGGAAGAAGAAGATAGACCAGGGGTGGGGGGCAGCCTGCTAGCTTCATTTTCACACAAGGACTATGGGGTGGGCAGGGAGGGAGAGAGAGGCTCCCTCTAGCATTGTCCATCCTGCTGTCATCTTAGAAAAACGCTAAATGGCAATGTAGCCACAGGAGTGACCCTGCCTCATCTCCTCTCCCCCCCCCTCCCCCTGCCGGCCCTGGGATGAGGGATGGGCTTTGGAAATGGAAGGAGATCCACAGGAAACTTCCCGGTCACCATCTCCTTCCAAGTTTATTCATGATCAGTTCATTCCATGGAAGCGGTTTCTGTAATGCTCCGCGGAGCTCTAGTAGAAAGTATGAGACTAGTTATCGTGACAACTAGTCCTGGTTATGGTGAGTATGGCCACTGCCAGGGGGAATGCTAATGACTGGGGCAGGCCCTTGGGGTCGTGTCACTCTGGCAGATTAGGCTTTCATTCACTTGGGCCTCAGTGGCTCACTGGGACATATGGGGTACTCAGGTTGTCCCTGGGAAACAGCACAGGAGCCATGGCCTGAAAAAAGTGTCACCTCTGGGGACCCCTCAACAGAGTCCTGGGTCCCAGCCTGTCTCCCCAGATACCGCCCACCATCCCCCACCACCTCCCCGGCCAGGGAGCACCCTCACACAGTAGCATTGGTCTTGACCTTGGCAAGGACCTTCTTCTCCTTGACCCTGCGATTCTGAAACCATATGGTGATCTGGCGCTCTGAGAGGCTGGTGGCCACCGAGATCTTGCGCCTCTTGTCCTTGGTGATGAACTTGTTAGCTGAGTACTCTCGCTCCAGCTCCCGCAACTGCCCCTTGCTGTAGGGAATGCGCTTCTTGCGGGCTCGGTGGAAGGTGCAGCCTTCCGGAGGGTGCTGAGCGCTTGAGTCTGCCAGATGGGAGTGGGAGAGAGAGAAAGACACATTCACATCCCCACCTACACACAGACCGAGGCCCCAGAAACTAAGGCACCCTGCAGGCCACCCTACTTCCACTCCCCCAAAGTACCCAGGGACACCTGGGCTTCTGGCTGGTTCTCTGATCACCTCTCAGCCTTGGAGAGAGCAGGCTCCTATAAGCCACCCTCACCCATCCCTGCCCTCACACCAGCAAGTCGGCAAATACACCCATTCCATACAGTCAGACCTTTGCCCACAGTCACATACATCCACCCTCGCGCATTTGAGACTCTTGGCCACTCTTACAGATTCTACAGGCAAATTCTGTACAGAAGGAAACACGTTTCTGCTCCCACTCCAACACCACACACACACACACACACACACACACGCACACACGCCAATGCACATACCTAAGTTATGACTGAGGGAAATATAAGTTTCCCTTTGGAAACTGAAAAGCTCATCAAAGAGAAAGTGAGAGGCTGTGTTCTTTACAGAATTTCCAATAACTGTTCCCACCCCCACCCCCCACACTCACTGAATTGAGAGGTACTTAGCCTTTCTGTGGAATTACACGGGGACCTGCTGGGTAGGAACACACTAAAAAGCCCCATCCAACTACTGGGATATATTGAAAGGCTTGTGGCAAGGCCTCTGGGGTTCTGTGAAGGGGCCTGTTGGCCTCTGGCTGCACATGGTCCCCAGCTCCGGCCCCTCACACTGACCTGGGGGACCTCCACCCAGGGTCTCGGACTACCTGGATCCTCCTTCAGAGTCCTAATAGCCCAAGAAGATCACCAAGCTCCTCCTCTCCAGCCCCAGGACTCCCTCCTCTTCCTCCCAGGCAAGTGCCAGCGGGGTCTGCAACCCCAGGCTGGGCGCCAAGGGGGCCCAGAGGAGTGAGTGAGGTTACCTGCAAACGCCGTCTTCCAGAAGGACCCCGGTGGGTTCTGTTCGCCCTGGCAACACATCTGGCTGTTCCAGCCCCCGGGGAGGGCCCAGGGCTGGTAACTGTCCACAGGCAGCAGGGCGTCGTGGCGCGGCTCCCCGGGGGCGCCCAGCGTCTGCACCACGGACACATCTAGGTAACTGGCCATCGGCTGGTAGGGCGCCGGGTACCCCGGGTAGAAGGCGAACTCGGCGTGGCGGCTGGGGTAGTCCTCGCCGGCCGCGGGAGGCTCCGCGGGGTAGGCGGCCAGCGTGGCAGGAAAGTTGTTTGTGTTTTCAATTGAACATAGAGGTAGGAACAAGTAGGATGATACTCAAAATGGAAAAGGGATTGCATGTGATGTTGCGCCCATGTGGTTTGAAACCGTGGTAGAACAGGAAAGCAGTCTTCACAGCGAAGGCCCTTTGAGTTGTCACGTATCTCCCAAACATAAATCTCTCTCCTTTCTCTGGTTAGAAACATTAATAGGTAGAATGCTCAAATAGCTCTCTTACGCTTGTAATTGTTACCAATAGGAACAAGCTCTCATAAATCAAACTTTACATTGGTTAAAATTACCCCTGTCCTTAAGGTTCCTGATCTGTTTCTCTCCTCCCGCCCCCTTTTTTTCCAGCTCTGGCTGACTCTCTGGATTATGTATCATTAATCTTTTCTCCTGACTTTCTCTCTCTCTCTCTCTCTCTCTCTCTCTCTCTCTCTCTCCTGTCTCTCTCTCTCTTAACGTGAGAGAGACGATGGGTGTCCCTTCGCTGCTTTCCTGGGGGGAGGGGAGAAGTGGGAGACGGAGAAAGAGCGGACAAGGAGTCCCCCTCCTCCGCAGCTCCCTTCCCTCCCTGGCTCTGTCTCCCGCGCTTCGGCCGGTTTAACGAGAGAATAAAGCTCCCCTATAAAGGCCTCTCTCGTGGGGGAAGGGGAGCCGGGGGTGGAGTCGGGAGGCCACTTGGCCTGCAAGGGGAACCTGGGAGTGCGTGCGCCTGGGCCAGCGGAAGCAAGCCACTGGGATGAAAGGGTATTTCTGGGGGCCCTTTCCTCTGGGTCCTGGGTGCTAGCATCCCAGTTCACCCCAGATGCCCCTCCCATCCTGGGTGCACTACAAGCGGCTCCTGGTCCCCGGAAGTGCCTGGGACGCCCCTTCCCCAGAGACCCCAGCTACTGCCCCACACAGCTCGGCTGGCGTCTGGCTCCGGGGTTGGGTTGGGGCAGAGAAAGAGGAAGGAGGACAGAGCTCCAAAGAAAGCGATGAGAGACCTGGAGCCTGGGACACAGAAGGTTTAGAGTTAAAGGGGAACCGGGACTTCTAGACCAGGCCCGTGAGAGGGGCTCTGCATTCCGTTTAAGGATGGAGAAAGAGGTAAGGAGAGAAGATGCACGTGACCTGTATTCAGAGA